GCGACTGCTTGTGCAGATTTTTTATTGGCTTACAAAAATTTATGTTGGCTAATACTTCATTTCTTCCGATTGGGTACGAGAAATGTATTCATTCAAATTGACAGGATGAGTAGGTCACATGCAAGTATTCTTGTGACAGTATATTGTAGTACTCCGGAGACAGAACTGGCTTATCTATTTTTGGCACAAGTAGATCGCAGCATCCTTGTGAGAATCGTATAGAAATATGGTAATTCTACATTATCATCTTCCTAATAGATTGGCAAGCAGCCCCGACAGGGATTTGGTTTGGGTACAGCTATACGTACATGGATGCTTGGGGACTTTGATCAATGTTTGTCTGACGGAGGTAGGAACTCCATTTTGTTATCGCGCATGTGTTTTTAACACATCTGACATGGCGTCGTTTCATTTACATTGTACTGAAGTAAACAATGGCTTTAATGATTCTGAACATGCAGCTTGAAATATCATGAAAAAGTTGATACTTAGCTTGTAAATACTTTTGCAAAGTGGGGGTATAACGTGATCACAAATTTCAGTACGATACGTGTCAGAAAAATATGAAGATCAGATCTCTACATTTGACTTGTTGCAGGTAAGGTCATATATATACATAAAAAGGCTTAAAACAAGGACATTACAAAGATGTGGACATTGTTGTCACACCACATCTACAGAACAGTCGGAAAACTCGTATTTTGTTAATTTCTCAATTGATGATTTTTGGATAGTACAACTGAATATCACATTGTCAAAAATTATATTGGTTTAATATGCAGACGAGAGCATACAACATTTTTCATTGCAAACTAGGAACACTGAAATATACATAAAAGGATATTAAAATAGATTTGGATGGTAATGAACATCCGACGATAATACTGGAAATATGATGGCTTCAAATATAAACATTACATCTAACTGATGCATATTGATAAATATATAGGATCTTTTACAGGAATGAGTCAACAAGATGAAGAAGGAAGAAGATTTTCGTTTTGCAAGCCTTGGTGAGCTAAAAACAGGTTTCATAAATTCTCATATGAAATGGAAACAAAGTTCACAACCATGTTATCAAAAAACTTTGTACAGTTATATTTTAACAAGTCTTAAAAGCAAAAAATGCGGAGGAAAAAATCAAAGGTAGGCAGTTTCTATTGTGTTATTATTAAGTCATGATGTAATGTCCTTGTCCATTTTCTGTCATCGCTATCTCTTTCTGACTGGTGAAGCCAAGGAAAAAAGCTCCAGGGGATGTTACACTCGTGACATATATGCATAAATATCACATGGGCATATTTACTGGAAAACAGACAGATTGTACGATAAAAGGAAACGTGAAGGAAATGTGGGGGAAAAATGGACAGCAAAAATTCTACTTCAAATTTATCAGTTTATGAGAATCACAAATGACAAATATATCAGTGTTTTCCAATTAACATTATTGGGACATTAAGTCATATCAAGAACTAAATTTCAGATCTCATTTTACAAGGATCAAAAGTACAAGCAGATTTCCTTGTCTTCGTCGTATCAAAATCAGAATTTACCGAGTTTTACAGATTGCATGAACTATGTGCACTCTGTGTTCTAATGTACAATACTGGTTTCATCATAGTTATTATATTGGTGCATAAGTACCAGAAAACAACCTGAGGGTCAAGTTTACATCAAACAACAACAAGATATATTTAGGCAGTGCTGTTTGTGATCCTTACTAAACTTAGCAAAGGTGTTGCTTGATTTGTGTAATCAAAACTAGGAAAGTTGTGTTCACTTGGTGCCTGTCACACAAAAATCAACAAGAATTTTTTAGATCTTTGGTAGTTATTTACTCTTTCTAAAAATGTTCAAAAGCTGATATGTAGATATTCTACTAAATGTTTATCTCAGATGGACAGCTGTTTGGAGTATGATCTAAAGTGTCTGTGGAGGATTAGCTGGCTTTGTGTAGTCCACATACTGCCATCAGCTGGTTTCAATGTACATGGCATTTGTACCAGGTATGTCGAGAGCACCAGAGGCTCCTACTCAACAATTACTTCCTGTAAACCTTTTTTTCTGGGGCATGAATGATGTAATAAAACTAGGAAATGTCATGAAATGAATGTTCCCTCTCTTTGCAAACCAGAATGTGATCAGATGAAGCACCTATATTATGATACTATGGGGTAAATGTGAACCAAATCAATTGAGTGGTTCACAAGACATGTGACAGGCCAAACAGACATGGGTAACACTATGTGGCCTCCGTCCTAAACAACTATTCCAATAATACAAGGGAAGGAGTGTAAAAACTGAATAATAGTAAGGATAAAATTAATAATATTAAGGATTTTCTGAAGTTTCCGTCTGAGGAATCTCCAAGGAAAGAAGACATGCTTTATCCCAACATTAGACACATTCTTCGTAAATGTGCTTTTGTTCAGAGCTGCCTCATCCATGTTAGAACTTGACAATTGGATTCATCGAAGTGTGTTAAACTGGCTATAAGCAAACAATGAAAATTTGTTCATGAAAATCAAGGTGCTTTGATCAAGAACTAATGCAATCTGTCAAAGCATTGCAGTAGATTTCAAAGAGATCTCTTATACTTGATGGATAGTAACGGTTGGGACTCATTATAAGTTTTCACATTCTTTCACAAGTGCTTATTGGTGCATAATCTGATACATGATGTATACAATTTTCAACATTGAGATTCTTCCTTACTGAACCACTATCACTGTCTTTGCATGGATGGTTCCTTCCAAAGAGGCTTCAGAAACCTATGAGCAAAGGTCAACTCTGTAGATAGTTGTCATACATATTGTATTTTGTAACAAATAAATAAATAAATGAATAAATAAAATGTCAACATTACTCCCTAAGCAACAAGACAACATTATAAATTTTCAAAACCTTGTTAGTCCAGACAAGAAGTGACGAGAGGCCATAGTGTGGGAGGTAGCCAAATTACCAAGGGAAAACCAACATACAATAAAACTCCTTTAAGTCAACCTCCTTGGGCCGTGTCAATAGTTCAAGAAATATTGGGCAATCTAGTAATCAGAGGTTTATCACAGACAGTTAGGTAATGAACATCTCCTGTCTGTTGATAACACATATGATACTCTTTTCTTTGATCAGTATTATCTACGACTGTGTTGGAAGTTTTGACTAATTTACAACTTCGGTGTGTTGAATTTTGCTGGGATATATGTACAAATTGTCTTTTACAGCACTTTTAGAACGATGAATACCTTGGCATCGTCTCTTTTCAACAACTTCCAATGATGACACAATGTTGATTCCATATTCTTACGGTACATTGTGTTATTAATTAACCTCATCTGCTTAAAAGAATCGAAAAATGTTTAAGGACAATCGTGTCAGTTAGTTCATTCGTATTCTTCTGCTAAACATGTGTCATTCCATAATTTCTTTTTAGACTAAAACAAACTTCCATTTGTACCGAGGTTGAGTTTTCTACAGCTATCTATAATTGATAGGAAATGTCTCAATAAGAAGTTATCTTATGTAGCAGACAGCAGTAAATCTATATATATAAATATAGTAATATCTCTGTTAATACTGTAACTATTTGTCATATAAACTCTTGGAAGCAGGTACGCTACATTTGGCACCAATCATGTGCAACACTAGTAAATTTTGGTGACTTTCACGTCAGTCATATTAATCTGACAAAATCTATCTTACTAAGTAACTAAGATGCCGATAAAAATGTCTTAAAATTAAATCTGACAAAATCTATCAGTTTAAGTAAATTAGATGCTGATGTAACAGACCAACAACTAATTACTCATCAACAGAGTACTCGTCCAATGAGCTACTCATACTTACACATATTGATTGCCATATAATTTTGTCAGAATGTTTCCCCGATCTTTACACATATATACGTACTTCATACCATAGTAAATTTAATACATGTACTGGTCCTCACTAATCTATACATACTTTCGTCTTTTCCATGGTTGGTCAGCAATATCAACTGGACAAACCTGGAAGCAATTTTTATTGACAGATGCTGGGTATAGCCCAATGATCATAACTCAATGACAAGTCCCCCCCATGTCTATTGATCTAAGCTGTATGTAGCTCTTCCAATGTATGCAGTGTTCTATCACATTTACAACTGATGCCTCTGTCTGTGTTCCCATTTTATTCTGTGAGGATACATTACTCTGTACTGATTTGGGTTTCCTGTTCCAGGTACCATGTATGACGATAATGTTGATGGAATCCAGTAACTATCCACATTTCAAATGCAATGCTGGCAGGATCCTGTAACTCCTTATATATGTTGCCATGGTGACAGACCTAGATACAACACATGTCAGTTGCTGTGGTGATGAGATTTAGTGAGTATCACTTTTGATTTTTTATAGAAACGGAGGTTTGACTTTTACATAGAATTGGTCATGGTAGCAGGATTAGGTGGCTATCACATAAAAGTGACCATTACACAAAAGTGGCCATGGTAACAAGAATTGGTGGCTTTAACATAGAAGTGGCTATGGTAACGTGATTCTGTGGCTACCACATAGGAGTAGACATGGTTACAGTATTCTGTGGTTATCACAGAGAAGTGACCATGGTTACAGGGACCACAGTTAAAGTGTTTAATGGTTATCACAGAGAAGTGACCATGGTTACAGGGACCACAGTTAAAGTGTTTAATGGTTATCACAGAGAAGTGACCATGGTTTCACAGAGAAGTGACCACAGTTAAAGTATTTTGTGGTTATCACAAAGAAGTGACCATGGTTACAGGATTCTCGGACTACTACATGAAAGTGTCTAGGGTAACAGGGTTTTATGTCTATCATGCAGAGGTGGCTACAATACCAGGATTTTGTGGTATCACATAAAGGAGTGACCATGATGATCTGATGAGTGGTTAACTTGGAAATTGTATCAAATAGCAAAACATAAGAGTACACTTCCTTTTGACTGGTAACAGACACTAACATAAGGTAGAGTTTTTACTGCTATCAGGCACCATTACGTTGTATAGACTTTTGACTGGTATCAGCACCATTATGTTGTGTAGACTTTTGACTGGTATCAGGTTGTGTAGACTTTTGACTGGTATCAGGTTGTGTAGACTTTTGACTGGTATCAGGTTGTGTGGACTTTTGACTGGTATCAGGTTGTGTGGACTTTTGACTGGTATCAGGTTGTGAAGACTTTTGACTGGTATCAGGTTGTGTGGACTTTTGACTGGTATCAGGTTGTGAAGACTTTTGACTGGTATCACGTTGTGTAGACTTTTGACTGGTATCAGGTTGTGAAGACTTTTGACTGGTATCAGGTTGTGTGGACTTTTGACTGGTATCAGGTTGTGTAGACTTTTGACTGGTATCAGGTTGTGTAGACTTTTGTCTGGTATCAGGTTGTGTGGACTTTTGACTGGTATCAGGTTGTGTAGACTTTTGACTGGTATCAGGTTGTGTGGACTTTTGACTGGTATCAGGTTGTGTGGACTTTTGACTGGTATCAGGTTGTGTGGACTTTTGACTGGTATCACGTTGTGTAGACTTTTGTCTGGTATCAGGTTGTGTAGACTTTTGTCTGGTATCAGGTTGTGTGGACTTTTGACTGGTATCAGGTTGTATAGACTTTTGACTGGTATCAGCACAATTATGTTGTGTAGACTTTTGACTGGTATCAGGTTGTTTAGACTTTTGACTAGTATCAGGTTGTGTAGACTTTTGACGGTATCAGGTTGTGTAGACTTTTGTCTGGTATCAGGTTGTGTGGACTTTTGACTGGTCTCAGATTGTGTGGACTTTTGACTGGTATCAGGACCATTATGTTGTGTAGACTTTTGACTGGTCTCAGGTTGTGTAGACTTTTGACTGGTATCAGGTTGTGTAGACTTTTGACTGGTAACAGGTTGTGTAGACTTTTGACTGGTATCAGGTTGTGTGGACTTTTGACAGGTATCAGGTTGTGTGGACTTTTGACTGGTCTCAGATTGTGTGGACTTTTGACTGGTATCAGGACCATTATGTTGTGTAGACTTTTGACTGGTCTCAGGTTGTGTAGACTTTTGACTGGTATCAGGTTGTGTAGACTTTTGACTGGTAACAGGTTGTGTAGACTTTTGACTGGTATCAGGTTGTGTGGACTTTTGACAGGTATCAGGTTGTGTAGACTTTTGACTGGTATCAGGACCATTATGTTGTGTAGACTTTTGACTGGTATCAGGTTGTATAGACTTTTGACTGGTATCAGCACAATTATGTTGTGTAGACTTTTGACTGGTATCAGGTTGTGTAGACTTTTGACTGGTATCAGGTTGTGTGGACTTTTGACTGGTGTCAGGTTTGTGTAGACTTTTGACTGGTATCAGGTTTGTGTAGACTTTTGACTGGTATCAGGACCATTATGTTGTGTAGACTTTTGACTGGTATCAGGTTGTGTGGACTTTTGACTGGTATCAGGTTTGTGTAGACTTTTGACTGGTCTCAGGTTGTGTGGACTTTTGACTGGTATCAGGATCATTATGTTGTGTAGACTTTTGACTGGTATCAGGTTGTGTAGACTTTTGACTGGTATCAGGTTGTGTAGACTTTTGACTGGTATCAGGTTGTGTAGACTTTTGACTGGTATCAGGTTGTGTGGACTTTTGACTGTTCTCAGGTTGTGTAGACTTTTGACTGGTATCAGGTTTGTGTAGACTTTTGACTGGTCTCAGGTTGTGTAGACTTTTGACTGGTCTCAGGTTGTGTGGACTTTTGACTGGTATCACGTTGTGTAGACTTTTGACTGGTATCAGGTTGTGAAGACTTTTGTCTGGTATCAGGTTGTGTGGACTTTTGTCTGGTATCAGGTTGTGTAGACTTTTGACTGGTATCAGGTTGTGTAGACTTTTGACTGGTCTCAGGTTGTGTAGACTTTTGACTGGTATCAGGTTGTGTGGACTTTTGACTGGTATCAGGTTGTGTAGACTTTTGACTGGTATCAGGTTGTGTAGACTTTTGACTGGTATCAGGTCCAGTTTTGAGTAGACTTTTGACTGGTATCAGGTTGTGTAGACTTTTGACTGGTATCAGGTCCAGTTTTTAGTAGACTTTTGACTGGTGTTGTGTGGGAATGGTCATCTTTCGTCTTATTTTTTACAGGTATTGATAGAAATATCACTATTGAATAAATCATATGTTAAATTTCCATACTGATGATTTTAAAACATAGTCAGTATCTTCAGAAAATTTCATGAAGATCTGTTTTGTACTTGTATTGATACAAATCATCAAAGTATAAAATCCAATAAGGCAGCTGGCAGCCATCTTGGATATCTAATCAAATTTTAAACGTGGCACACACATTAAACAGGCATTCATATAGATATACCCCCACCCCCTCATTTGTTTTTACTGATCTAAATCAATTGAGACTTTAATCTATTGTGAGGTTTATGAAATAGCTTAAACAGTACATTTTCATTTCAAAAGTAGCAACAGTGACCTTTGAACTCTAACCTATGCAACCAACAAAATCTGATCTACCATAACCCCCCCCGAGAAAGAGGGAATATATAACAAGGACCCATAATGAAAATGCCTGCAAACTGAATATCCTTGTAACAGGAAAATACATGCTTTGGTAAGAAAAAGGTAAAAGACAGGTTTGACCATGTCAGTTACAATAGTTTTCAGGGAAGACTGACTGAAACACAAGTAAGTAGAAATATTCACCATCTGATCATGAAATGCCTGTAACATTTGTTGAACTAAAACAATTTTGTTTTCAGACCAAAGTTATTGATGGGAAATATTGGCCGTGTTAATAGATGTGATGTGGTGCTGAATCACAATTTAGTAGTTTCTGTCCAGGTTGACTGGTCAGTTAGTCATTACATCCAGAACTGGTCAGTCATTACGTCCCCGTCTAAGATATTGGAGAGTGTAATTCCTGGTCAGCAGAACACTAACCATGCTAATTCTTCCTACTACAAGCTATAACGCAAAGCTTCACAAGAGTGATATATGGCAACCAGTATATGATGACTGTCTAGGCAGTGCATAGGTCATAAGCAGTTAGTAGTGGTCAATACCATTGATAATGGTCAGTTGACAGCCAATTATATCCAATCACCATCTTCAACATCATTTTCTATTACCAACCAAGTCCCATCTTGTTAGGGTACCCCTTTCTTCCATCCTAAATGAATAATACCACACCATTGATATTGCCTTGACCCTCCACAAAGCTGGAGAGTTAAAGCAGGGTTAGGTTACAATGTAAGCCGTCTATCATAGAAACTAATTAAAAGTCCATCATACTCATGTCTCCCATATCCAATAAACCAAAATAGCCGATCTTGAGTTCAGTTTAGATGTCATGTCAAGGAACAGTGGTAAGTCAAGCTCTTTAACCACACTGTAGGAACAGTGGTAAGTCAAGCTCTTAACCACATCATAGGAACAGTGGTAAGTCAAGCTCTTTAACCACACTGTAGGAACAGTGGTAAGCCAAGCTCTTTAACCACATTGTAGGAACAGTGGTAAGCCAAAGTCTTTAACCACATTGTAGGAACAGTGGTAAGCCAAGCTCTTTAATCACATTGTAGGAACAGTGGTAAGCTAAGCTCTTTAATCACATTGTCAAGGAACAGTGGTAAGGCAAAGTCTTTAACCACACTGTAGGAACAGTGGTAAGCCAAGCTCTTTAACCACATTGTAGGAACAGTGGTAAGTCAAGCTCTTTAACCACACTGTAGGAACAGTGGTAAGCAAAGTTCTTTGACCACATTGTAGGAACAGTGGTAAGCAAAGTTCTTTGACCAAACTGTAGGAACAGTGGTAAGCCAAGCTCTTTGACCACACTGTAGGAACAGTGGTAAGCAAAGTTCTTTGACCACATTGTAGGAACAGTGGTAAGCCAAGCTCTTAACCACATTGTACCTTATGATCTGTACAGGGTATGACAAGGTAAGCCTTCATCTACCTTTCTGTCCATGACCCTCTAAACTTTTCTTCACTTATTTACTTACAGACCTGTGCATGTTATCTGTTCCCATTTAGCATTTCCAGAGTGTTTCCTTATCATTTCCTTAGCATTTCTGTACTGTTTCCATAAACCATTCAGTCGAAAATTTCACTAATCATTTCATGAAACAAACCATTTGTCAAAATCTTTCTACATGCAAAATATGTTTCAATCTTATGAATGTATCGAATATATATTTAATGACAATTTATAAAGTAACATACACCTGACATCAATAGTCTTTTCAGTATAGATAATTTCATCAACTCAATGACGTCATTTTGTCTGTATTCGTCATGTCTATTAAAGCCTATTTTTCATGTGACATGGTTGACAATAAAAATCACGCTTAACTCTAAGTCCATGGTTAAGTATGTATTTGTAGGTCAGAAATTGACGGGTTTACTTCAATGCTATCACCCGAGACCATCAGCATCCAGGTGTGCTGAGCAAACATAGAGATGACGTCCTGGAGCATTCACTTGTTCACATGAAACTTGTATTAAATCATCTATCACCAGGAAAAAAAACTCAATCGTGATTCAAATTCATATTGTAAGACTATAACAGTCTAATGTGTGAACTCTTAAGTAGACAATCAATAACATGCTGTGATAACTGTTGCACTGGATACTAGTATCTCATGGAATTTGTGTATAACAAAATATATAGACAAATTAACTTACATTGTGTACAAGTTACCATACTCCTGTCACCTACATCATCTACATGTAAGTTGGAGAAGCTGCTCTTGCTAAAACTAATAACATAATAAATTTATGTTTATTGTAGTGTGAGAATCAACATTTCTCACAAAATCAAAAGACAGTCCGGTTTTTGTAAAAACCTGATGATTTTCTCGGCGTTTCTTAATGGTCATCCGTAGCACTTCCGTAGCATTTGTGTATCATTTGCATCATCCTACCATACCATTTGTGTAGCATTTCCGTACCGTTAGTGTTTGAGATGGAACAGGAAACATGTACGGATCTGTAATTTCACAGGTCTTTCTCCTATCCTACTGGGTTAAAATGCCCTTTATGCCTGTTGTTTTATGTTTTGTTGTTTCCAGTTTCAGATAACCCTTTTTTAAAAAAAGTTCATGTTTCAAAACTTGATGTTGTGTCCCAAATGTTATCATATTTGAAACCCTGTTGTCTTTTATGTTTTTCCTTGGTTGAATACTATCTACATTTCTATAGAAAGGCTGTCCAGTCTTTTGGGATGTGTACTAATTAAATTGGTTGCAATTTTTATGTATTGTATCAATCAAAACTTCCTGTTACCTGCAAATTACTGTCCAGTATCTACTTACATTTCTTGGTTATTTTGTCTTAACTGAATTCATTTTGGCATCATTCACAAAACTTGTCAAGACTGCGAAGACTGCTCAAATTTCAAGTTAAGTCTTATTCATAAATCTCCTTATGAGAAACTTGCAATAAGACTAATTTGAAATTTTTCTCTAGTGTATGTATCAGATTGTTGAAAACAATAACACTGTAAAAGGTTTGCTGGTAATTGATATCCAAATTTAAATTTCCTTCTAAATTGGGAATGTAAGCAAGCACAACTTTGTGTTATTATTCTGGTATGTAGGTGGCAAACTTTCTAACTTTGAACATTATACATAACCATCCTTATTTAGAAAGATACTTCTACATTCATTACAACAGAATAAAATAACTTTGCACATGTTTCAAGTTACGCAAGTATTTCTAAAGTTCAGATTTTGAAAAAGAACATTATACATATATGTATTAAGTAAGGAACAAGATATTATAATGTATTCCATTAATAGTTAGTTATCAAAGTTTGTACAAAGCTTTATAGGCTTAAATAGTCCTTGAGAAGATGGCAATGCTGTGATAGAATAACTCAAAAGTACATCAGATAGTATATATCAGAAGATATTCACATGCCAGTGCTATCGTTTTTTTTTTTCCAAGTAAAAAAAAAAAAAAAAAAATAAGGGAACTAATCAATTCAGCTGAATAGGCTACAGATAGATTTCTTCAGTAAATATTGTTTCCAGTGCTAGGTGTAATTTAGATTATAAAGGGGTAATTCAATACCTCATGGTTTTCTTTCTCTGATTTCTGATGTAATTGTGTTTAATTGTTTAAAGAACTTCACAGAATTAACAAAGATTAACCAACAAGCTTTTAATCCATGAAAGTCTCCAATCTGACCTACTTTCCAGATACCAATGGTTTTTCATATCTAAATCAATACTATGTGTTGAAGTAAATGAGCTGTCCTGAAATGCCAGTTAGACTGGTGATTATTTAAATCAAATCCCATTAGTAATTCTTCAGGCTAACAGTCATTCACCAAAGCTTTTAAACAAAAGAAGAACAAGTAATTAGCATGCATCCACATCACATGGTGTGGACATTTCCTGGTGATGAATTGCTAGCCTGATAGAATAGTCACACAAACCAAGGGCAGATAATTCATTTGTAATCGCTGCAAACACTGAATAGCTTAATAGCACTGCTAAAGTTAGGAAAAACAACTCCTTTCTAACATTTTATATTTGGCTGGTAGGCCGCTGTGACAAATCTACAGCAAACAGATACTCCAATTTGAAGCATTACCTGGTAGTGGAATTTCTGAATTTCTAATCACTGGTTGTAATAATTGATCCGCAACTGTAGATCATTCACATGATTGATAGGGGAGTATCTATGAACGTCGGTAGACTTTAAATTACCAAGAGCAGATAACTCATCGGTTTATAAAGTTTTATTATAGTTCTACGGGACTTCTGTAATTAATAATATCGCTTTTCTTGGTACAAAATTATATTAGTTCCCTCTATATATTGGCTTTGACATAACACACTTAGTGCTTGAAATGCTTTGTCACCCAACAAAACTTCGTTTTGCTTTCATTCGGTTCCTTTTCTTAGCTCCCATTGTTTTCCCTCCAACTGACTACCATTTGGATTTTTTCATGAATATTGACAACAGGTACTCTTTCTATATTAAATGTGAATTATAAATTTTGACAAAAAGTTTTTTTTATTTCCTTTTAATCTCATTTTTTTCTGATGATTTGTTTTTATGGTGAGTGCAATGCCAACATTTGTATGATAACCTATAGGCATTTTTTCAGAGTTAATATCTGTTTTCTTTATTCACCAGTCCGGTAATTACAAATATACATATACAAAAATCAATAAAAATGGCCTATTAAGAACTTTTTGGTTTGTCTATAAAAAAAAGAAAAGGTCGTTTATGAATTTTTGTAAGTTTCTAATTGAGTACATATGTAAAGACAGTAATGATACATT